GGGATGACAAGAGGGAGGTGGTGCTGCGTAAAGTGTGAGTAAGGCTGGGGAGGTGAATGCAAGTGTGCGTATGAGTCTGGATGTGCATGGTTGCGGCATGTGTGTATGTTAGCGTATGTAGCATATGTATGTTATGTTTATGGTATGTGTCTTTTGTCTATTACGTGATATGCGTGTAGAACCCCTTCTCGTGCATGTGTAGGTCATCATATGGATGCCTGTGACTACATGATTATTATAATGTCTGACTGCTCCTCTAAATCAGCTGCTGTGTGTAATTGTGTGTGGTTGGTAAGATCACTCTCAGAGTGCTGTGTGTTCATGCCACCCGTCGCCTTCTGTGATTGCTGTGCTAAGTCTGACTACATCTGTTGTGTGTGTGTGTGTATGTATGTATGCGAGGAGGCAGTACCATAGCATTTGTGTTTGTGTGTCTTGCCTTTTCAATTAGTATGGGTTCTGCTCATCCATATTTGGGATATCCGTTTTGTGCGGGGGTAGAAGAACGGGAAGGAGGAGAGGAAGGGGAAGGGGGGGGGGGGGGTTTATTGGTTGTGGTCTGCCTGGGAATGGGGAAGGTTGAGCAAGGATTAACGGCCAAGGAGGAAGGAAGTCTGTGTAGTAAAAGATTTCTATGTTTTCTCCGTTTTTCCTCTACCTCTTTTTTTTTTTTATGGTTGCCAAGATTTTTAGAAGATTCTTTTTGTTGAGATTTGCCTTTGTTGTTGATTGAGAAAGAAATGGAGTTTTTATTTTTCTGTTTTGTTTGGATGAATGTGTGTGTGTGTGTTCTGTCTGTCTGTCTGTCTATTAAGTATTCATTGAAAGACCAATATTGGAAAAGAAATATGAAACAAGGGAAATGGATAGAAACTTAAAAACAAGAAAATGAAAATAATGATATAGGTCAACCAACCTACCAACAGGCAGTAAGAAATCCATCCGAAATCTTTCTCGAGCCTTTCAACGACCAGATCCAATTTCAGTCTTTGCAGTTCCTCCTCTCCCCTTTCCCGTCACTATCACAAGAACAGAAAGGGGACCACAAAAGAGAGAGAGAGAGAGAGAGAGAGAGAGAGAGAGAGAGAGAGAGAGAGAGAGAGAGAGAGAGAGAGAGAGAGAGAGAGAGAGAGAGAGAGAGAGAGACAAAGAGAGAGAGAGAGAGAGAGACAGACAGACAGACAGGGACAGACACACGTTGAGTAAGGGAGCAGGAAGGTGGTGGGGGAGCTTGAATTAGGAAAGGGAGGTAGTTGGGCAAGTGGGCAGAAGGCGGGCAAGTCTTGGGCCTGGAATGATCATGTTTCCTGTAGGATTTTCGAGAACCAGCCGGGTGAAAGTTGGAGACTTGCCTTCATCCTGTTCTGGGGGGTATCTGGTTTGCGGGCGTTTGATGATTAGGCAGAGAAGGTATGGGCTGGTCTTATTTACTTGTTTGGTTTAATTATTGGTTTATTTATTTGGTTATGGCAGATATAGATGTATAGTATATATTTAGAATGTATATACTGTGGATATGTTATGTCCATAGTTTCATGTAAGGTTTTTGCACATTACTGTATTAAATTCCCAACAAATCTTGTCTTTTTGCACTAGTAAAATACGTAAGACAATTACGCAAATAAGAAGCCACTGTAGAGGTACAGCTGCAGTGCCATAATAGTAAGCATCTGTTCTAATTGACAGGAAAGCAAAATTACGCTACATATGGGAACCTTAGTGAGGTGCCATTAAACCATTTAAACCAGAATTACAGGGAATATCGACCTTTAAATCAAAATTGCCGGTAATATGACCCTTCCTCTCCAGGTGTGAATCCCTAATTAACCCCACCAGGTGCTATAAATGCCCATAATCCTCCTCTAAGATTTTAAAAGCCTAAAGTGTGAGATGATTTATGAAAGTGGAGAGTTGACTGGTTGTGGCTTGTGACACGTAGATAAAGTAAAGATTTATTAATCTTGAGTTTTTAATTTTTATTGTGGTTTTATTTATTTATTTTTCAAGATGTCTAAATGTTATGCCTTTATTTATTATTATGCTGGTGGCTCGGGTTTTGTTGTGTATATATACCAAAGGGGTAAAGAAAATGTAGCGGTTTTCCTCAATGGAATTACAAACAACTCGATGATTTCTCAATGAAGGAGGTACCTAATTGTGTAAGAATACAGATATTTTGGGAATATTTCTTATATGTTAGGAATATGATGTTGTTTAAGAATATAATGTTCTTCAGCATGACAGCAGCTAGTTATAAATTTTTTGATACAGACACAGACAGTTAGGTATCTTTTATCATTATTAATTAATTTTGCTGAAGAACACAATATTTTGAACAAATACAAAGATGCCTCTTGCTTACGGATTTCCCCTTTCCCTTCACAGACGAAGAAAAGCGCCTTTTGAAGAAGGAAGGAATCCAGTTGCCGTCACACTACCCACTCACCAAGCAGGAGGAGAGAGAGTTGAAACGCATCAGGCGCAAGATCAGAAACAAGATCTCCGCACAGGACTCCAGGAAACGCAAGAAAGAATACATCGACGGACTGGAAGACAGGTACGTATCTTCCTCATGTTCCTCCTCTCCCTTTTGCACCTCTGCTTTTTTTTTTCTCCCTTTGACTTTTTTCTCTTTTTTCTGTTTCAAAATGGAGGCCACTTATGATTAAATTTGTAGCGATTACTAAAAGAAATGATGAACAGCTATGCAATAAGGCAGTGTTGATGATAGGCAAGAAAAAAAGTAATAATGGCAATGATAATGGTACTATTATTTATCCAAGTTTGTTTTAGAATAATTTTATCGCCCTATGCAGCTGATATTATGAGCAACGGGTGAATAACCCTCAAGACTGACAAGCACATCCCTAAATACTTCTGCGGAAAAGCCTCACTCATCCCTTGTAACCCCTTTCCAGAGTGAAGGCCTGCACGGAGGAGAACCAGCAACTCCAGAAACGCATCCGAACCCTCGAGGCACAGAACGAGTCCTTGCTCGTACAGATGAGACGGTTCCAGAGCGTCTTGACGGGTGGTGGAAACAGTGGCCGATCACAGGTCAATGCCTCCACAGCACTCATGATGCTGATTTTGTCGGCAGCGCTCTTCATCGTGCCCTCGGTCAGACAGGATGCTGCCGGGTCTGAGAATGATCTGTCACTGCCTGCGTCAAAGATGCCATCAGCAGGTGAGTTTATTTATTAATTTTATTTTGTTATTTTCTTCAGAGTTCTGGTTCATACTGTGTTCCTTTGTTTCTGAGTTGTTCACATGCATTTGTGTAATATATTTATTTTTTATTGTATATATAATCAAGATTGGTTAAGATTGGTTATTTGTGTGTGTGTGTTTGATCTGCTGCAAGTCACATGTGTTATTTTGATACTCATTGGTTTATTTACTTTTTCTTCTTTAACAGGTCATTCCCGCAGTCTCCTGGAGGCTGGCAATGGCGGCCTCGTTCCTGGTGCTCTGGATGTGTTGGAAGGTGTTGATGATGAACTCCCTGCCGACCTTGACAGCCCACAGGTTCTGGCCCTGACTGACCACGACTACACCCCAGTGGCCAAGCGCCAGCGCACCAACTCCAAGGGGATCAACTACTACGTTCCACCCCTAGATGACATAGGTCCCCAGAACGGAAAAGTGGATGCTGGTGGAGGGTTCCCCCCTGACGACAGCTCGGGCACAAAACTGGCTGCAAGGATAGTAGATGCGATGGTAGAGCACGCTACGAACAACTACTCGGACCCGGGAGGGCAGCACAACAACAAGGCCCAGGCTGTCGTGGTCAATCTCGGCCAGGGGAAGAAGAGGCTGCGGGACGATCTTGAGTTGGAGTGAGGTGTTTTCTTTAAGCACTGAGGGTGCATTCATTCTTTTGCATAATAAGGAGATGATTTGCCTCAGGTTGGTGTGACTTCATGGCTAAAGTTGCATCTCTTTGAATGGCCCTGTGCTGGGTGGGGGGACCTACCACGGCGGCAGAGGCTGCCACTACCCTGAAGCCCCGTCCCTGGAGTCCTCTGGGTTGCACGGACAAAGCCATCTTCCCTTTCAACGTGTACTGGAGGCTGTGCTAGCATTACAATAGTAAGATTCAATGAAGCTAAACAATTTTAATTTAATATTTTCGAGAGGTTTAGGCTGGTGGGAGATGGCAGGCTTCTGCAGACTTGTGGTAACATTGTTTAAGCTGCACTGTGTGTGTGGGTGGTGCATTCATGTAGTATAGTCGGGTGAACAGCTGGAACCAGTCGTTGTGGGGCCTCGAGCTGATGCCCTGCTCATTCATGAAGGGAATAGGGGGTTTATGTTCATTATGCCATATGGGTTTGCTTTGCTGTTATGTTACTAAAGAATATTTCTTAAAGATTATTGTAAGATTATCTATTAAGAAATCCTGTTTCTTTTTAGACTTGTAAGAGGTACAACTTTGGAGAACTTTAAGATAATTTAGCGTTTCCAAACATTAGTGGCTTTGTCGTGTGGATGATGAGGTCCACAGCATTCTTCACATTAAGCTCTCACAGTGTTATCTTACGACCATCATCTGCTCTTGTTCTCATGAAAGAGTCAACGTACTAAGAGTTGAATATCGTAATTTTTAACTCCTCAGTTAAATGATAAAACACTGATTTTCAAAAGGTTGGGTGCAAAGATTATGTTCAAATATATTTCAATGTGCTTAATTTTGGAATATATATAGAGATATATAATTATCCTTTTTTTTTTCCTGTTTTTTTTTTACACATTTGTATTCGGTGGCGATGAACACGGAATACTCTTTCTTCGACTGATTGTTATGGACCAATGCAATTTTTTTTTTATATATATAAATCATTTCATTTCATTATTTGTTAGTAGAATGGAAGTCATATCACTGTCATTTGATCATTTTTTGTAGATAAAATTATAAAATGAAGAAAGAAATATATTTTAAGGCAAACTGTGTTGGTTTTATTTCGAGCCCAAATATTAAATAAATTTGTTACTGGTATTGAAGTATACCATAATGTAATTGAAAAAAATAAACATGTATGTTTTCTTACATATTTTTAGTTAAAGGCTGAAAAGAGTTCTTTAAATAAGAAGAAAATTTAGATATTGGAAAAATTAAATTGTCTGTTCCTAGATTTTTTTTTAATATTCAAATTCACGGTTTTGATCTTATTTTGAAATCATTAAAGGAATAAGTTCAGAATTAAGTATTTTACCTGTTAAGAGATATCTATATTGTACAATAACTTTTAGCTTCTTTGTCTATAATTGGACAAACCATTGATAATAGTTAGCTTGATAAGAATCCAACTTCAAAAGAAAAAGAAATCTTTCTAAGAAGGATATTAGTTCAGAAAATTATTAGGAATACAATGATATTTAGACCTTTATGAAAAGGTATAAATGAGAATGAATATCGTCACAATACAAGAGATGTGTTTGATGTATTTTTATTAAATCTTTATTAGAAATACATGTACATTTACTGTTATAAAATGCTGTTCATACAAAAAATATGTTGCATTCTGACAATTATCACAAACCTCTCAAATGCATCTTTTGATATAAAAACAGAAAAGTACTGTATTTCTCTTCAAAAGTGTACATCAAATATATTTCTGCAGTGGTTACCATCGAAACTAAAAATATATATCATTTCCTTTATTTTTTCCTCATTTCAAATCATTTTACCTCATTCTAAATTATTACTTAAAAAGTACATATGTGTATGAACTGCCAAATATCTATATTGAATTTTATCCTTAAATTAGAAGTAGACTGACACTGACTGACTGACTTTTTTCTTATAACAGTAGTTTCTTGAGATATGTCAATGTTATTGCTTCAATTGTCGTTAAGAGTAGAAGTAGAAGTAGAAGTAGAAGTAGAAGTAGAAGTAGAAGTAGAAGTAGAAGTAGAGAGTAGAGAGTAGTAGAAGTAGAGAAGTAGAGAAGTAGAGAAGTAGAGAAGTAGAGAAGTAGAGAAGTAGAGAAGTAGAGAAAGTAGAGAAGTAGTAGAGAAGTAGAGAAGTTAGAGAAGTAGAGAAGTAGACATGAATTACACAGATTCATCTTCATTTTAATAATCCATACATCCAATTTACGTGTATGACAAATCATTCTCAAAATTCTTACTCGTCTGATTGTAAGTAATTTGAATTGGATGGTAAGTAATACTACATTCATAAATAGGGGTAACAAGAATACTTTTTTTTTCAAAGTAATGTCTAATCTCTTCAATGATTTCATGACTTGAAACTTGCAGAAATTCTTTTTTTTTTTAATTTCAGCCATTATTATTGTTATTATTATTATTATTATTGTTGTTATTATTATTGTTGTTATTGTTATTTCCACCATTACTGTTACTGTTATTGTTATTCCCACCATTACTGTTATTGTTATTATTATTATTATTATTATTGGTATTAGTATTGGTGTTGGTATTAGTGGTTGAAGTCCCAGTCGACCCAGATGCCGAGCCAATGCTGATGTTGATATCAATGTTTGACGTGACAGTCAGTGTCCCCGTCACAGAACCACTTAGAATGATGCCAAAAAGAATTCTTGGCGTTGAGGAAATAGCCTTAGCGTATTCTTCTTCATTAAGGGCGTCTTTGCTTCCATAGGCGACTGGTGGCGAGATTTAAAAATGGAAGGAAAATGGTTTTAAAAAAAGATAGGAAAATGGAAAATGAAAATGTGTTGGAATTCTTATATGCTTGAAGGTATAATTTGGTGTTCTTTGTTCAGAAAAAAATAGAATGTGACTGATAAAAAATAAAGGTAGTATTAGTGTTATTATTTCTGATAGTTGTATGACTGATAATACAGGTATATTATACAGGTACTAAATGTCCATTATTAGTTGTAGCATTATAACGTTACTACTATTACTACTATTCTGTCTTTTACTACATCAGTGACTATTAGAACTATAACACCTACTATTACTTGTACTGCTACTAGTTTTACTACTAATGTTACTACTGTTACTACTACTACCACTGTTACTGTTCATACTTTTACTATTACTATTTTTACTACTACTACTACTACTACTACTGTTACTGCTACTTTTACTACTACTTGTACAGCAATACAACTACTACTACTACTACTATTACTACTACTATTACTACTATATTACTAACTACTACTACTTACTATACTACTATTACTACTACTATACTACTACTACTACTACTATTTACTACTACTACTACTACTACTACTATTACTACTACTACTATTACTACTACTACTACTACTACTACTATCTACTAATTACTATTACTACTACTATTACTACTACTATTACTCTCTACTACTACTACTACTATTACTACTACTACTATTACTACTACTACTTGTAATTATTATTACTACTACTACTACTACTACTACTACTTACTGCTATTTACTACTACTACAATTACTATTACTACTACCAGTACTTTTTCTGTACTGCACTGAACGTTTATTATTACTGTGATGTTAC